CATCATGCTCAGAAGGGTGGAGGGATGGTTCAGGAGAGGAAGACCCTGGGTGAAATGGATTGGTACAGTAAGTAGGGCAATGGGAGTAGTTGCATTTGGAGTCAGTGAGACTGGCTTAGGACAGGGCAGGCCTCAGAGCTGTACATAGGGTTGCTATGAGTTGCAGGTGACTCAACAGCACATAACAACAACAACAACTGGAAAATATTGAGGGTGGTTGAGCAATTGAATGATCAAAGTAATCCTTCAAAGACTAAGAAGAGCAAGAATTTTTGGCTCAGATAGCATTTACATTGTGTTTAGGCTTTAGAAAGAATTCCTAAGGAACCATGGCTACTTAACCATTAAGTGCTAGGCTGCTAATCAACAAGTCTATGGCTTGAATTCACTCAGTGGGAGAAAAATGGGCAGTGAAAAAATGTATATCCTTGGAAGACTTCTGATTTCAAGTACACAGGATGATGTTCATAGTGTATATGTGCAAATACTGGGAAAGATGGAAGATGAGACAAAGAGAGGAAGACCCTCAGTGTGATGGATTGACTCAGTGACTGTAACAGGCCTGAGCATGCTGGTGCTGATGAAGACGGTGCAGGACAGGGCAAGGTTCTGATCTATCGTTCATAGGTCATTATGAGTAGAAGTTGACTTTATGGTACCTAACAACAACAATATTTAATTTTATATAAGTAATATGGACATATATTGTTACCCCAGGAATCTTAGAACCATACTCAATACTGAAGCATAACTATATTTAATTTTTAATAAAGCTTACTTCAACAAAACTGTGCTTCTATTCATGTTTGTTTCTATAATGCAACCTAGTTTCTCTTACCCTACACAATCTGAACTCATCCTACACCGATTTAAATTTTAAAAAACAAAATACATTGAACTGGAGGTAGACTCATCAATAATCTTCATTATGCAGATGACACAACCCTGCTTGCTGAAACTGAGAAGGACCTGAAGCGCCTGCTGCAGAAGGTCAAGGACTATAGCCTTCACTATGAATTGAAGCTCAACATCAAGAAAACAAAGATTCTCACCACTGGGCCAATTGGCATCATCTCAATAAATGGTGAAGAGATTGAGATTGTTGACAGCTTCAGTTTGCCAGCCTTCACAATCAACACTCTTGGTACCAGCAGCCAGTAAATTAAAAGACGAATTGCAATAACTAAGTCTGCTGTGAGAGAACTCTCCAAAGTACTGAAGAGCAACAATGTCAGTCTGGAGACTAAGGTGCACCTGATACAGGTCATAGTCTTTGCTATTACTTGCTATGCATCAAAGAGCTGGACAATGAGTAGGGATGATAAAAGGAGAGTGGATGCCTTTGAGCTGGTGCTGGAGAAGAGTATGAAATATACCATGGACTGCTAGGAGAACAAACAAGTTCGTCCTGCAGAGGGTGAAGCCAGGTTGCTCCTTGGAGATAAAGATTCTGAAACTTTGTCTGACATACTTTGGACATATTACAAGCTGGGATCAGTCCTTGAAGAGGGACGTCATGCTTGGGAGGGTGGAGGAACAGCACAGGAGAGGAAGACTGTCTATGAGATGGATTGATTCAGTCACTGGGGTAATAGAAATAGGTGTGTTGAAGACATTAAGATTGGCAAGGGATTGAGCAGGGTTTAGGCCTGTTATACATAGGGTCGCTATGAGTTGCAGGTGACTTGACGGCACATAACAACAGCATAGCAAACATGAATGAAAAATCCTGTCTTTGCTGCATAGTAGAGTGGACTTGGGAGGGATTGTATAACAATGAAAGAATTTTTCTTTTGCTTTTCAAAGAGAAGAACAAACTCAAGGTGAGGGGGAGGTTGGGCAGGGAGAAAAGCATAACAATGAAATCCAAAGTCTCTGTAAACTTTCATTAAAATTTTAAAAAAAATTAAAAATTAAGAGTTAAATACAAAAAAAGAAAAGTACTGTCTTGCTCTGAGAGTCAAGGAAAGTATTGATGGAAAGTATAGTCATTTCTCAATATTCACACATCTGTGGTCTGACAATTTTCAAGATTAGGTCACATCCATATTTACTGGATATTCATTATATGTGTGGTGTATATCAACTTGGCTGTGATTCTCTGATTTGGCAGTTCCAAGGTAGACATTGCCTTGATGAGATTTGAGGCCTGAGCCTGGTGTATATGGAGGCCTAACAAAGCTTACTTGCTTTTTGCTTCATCTCATCCTGTACTTGACTGGTCATTTTTAGTTTTTTAGACTTGAACAACAACCTGTCTTAACTGCCAACCTTGGACTTGTCATCTCTGCAGCTCTGTGACTTAGAGAAGTCTCTCTCCTGAGGTCTGATCTATGATTTTGCTTCTCAGGAAAATCCAGCCTAAGGCATGCAGTGCTTGTGTGAAGATTCTGATGCCTTTAAAGGGTACATGGTAAATTTACAATTATTAACATTAGTTATAGCCTGTCACATTTGCAGTGTGGGTAACCTCATCTTGGGTGAAGCTAACCATGTGCCTTCTCTCTGCCTGTACCCAAGGATCCAAAGACATTGGGAAACATCACAAAAACTCATGACCATCACCATCCCCTGTGTACGGCAGATTTCTTAACAGCACGATCAACTCCCTCTCCCACTCTGCACTGTGAGTCCCTCATGGCTTTTGTGTTCTTCTTTGTGGTCATCAGAGTTCCAAAGTTGTCCCTGAAAGATCTCTACACTTCAATGAAACATGAATCTAGGTACTGCTGTGAGGGGACTTTGCCAATGTAATTATTGCTCCTTGTTAACTCAGTCTGAATTAGACTACCTGGAGCAGCCATGTGAGATATTTTGATGCAATCAATCATATGAGTTCTTTTTTTTTTTTCACTTTCTAAATCAAGTGTTTTATTAGATAATGGCTAATGCATCTCTGTCAGCAGGGAAACATGGCCCCACACTCAAGAGACCCTGAGGTTGCTCAGCATTAGCTGCTTGAGTAGCAATGCCGGTAGAGATGTCACCAAAGAACCTACACACAGATTGTATGGGAAAAACATGTTTTTAAATTTTTTTTATCTTATTATTTTTGTGTGTGAGTGTACCGTCAAATCAGATCTGACTGGTACAGTTGGAGATTGTCCCTCCTTCCCCGGGAGAGCATCTGGTGGATTCAAACTGTGGGCCTCTGGGATTGTAGTTGCAGCTCTTTGCCACTAGGCCACCAGAGCTCCCCTTGGGAAAAACATTTAATTAACCAACCTCCATGTAATTAGCACAGCCTCAAGTCACCGGGACACAATCCTCCCAACACCCTTAATCTTCTCCTCAGCTCTTCTGCTGAAGAATTTGACCTTCACAATGACTGGTTGCTTTGGGAGCTTTCCCTTCCCCAAAACTTTGTAGAAACCAAATCGAACCACATCAATGATGGGAGCATATTCAGTCTTGTTTTTTGCATCATTCATCGTTATCTGCTCACTGACAGGGTCCATACTTTGTGATGGTTGACAGTTGGGCAGAAGCGATGATTCCTCTTCAGGTGGTAATGTCTCACACTAAACTTTCCAAAATAACATGGATGTTGTTTGTCAAAATTGATCCTGTGGTGATACAAGCCACCAACATCTCAGCCTCCAGGGTGCTTCCGGAGTTTCCCAATGTGGCCATGACTGTGGCTCACATGGCCCCTAAGTTTCCGGTTCTTCCTCAGTCTTGATGATATTTTGGTTGTCTGCATAAAATATGAGCTGTTAAAAGTGCCAGAATCAGGCTGGCGGAAAGAGCAGGGCAGGGGTGAGACAGAAGGCATCAGAAAAATTGGAAGCATGGGAAGGACAAGGCCCACTGTTGCTTGCTTTGAAGATGGAAACTAGAAGCCAGAGAGTGCAGCAGCATCTAGAAGCTGAGCCAGTATTAAAAGTGGTGCTTCAGTCCTACTACCTGTTAGACCTGAATTAGACCAACAATCTGAATGAGCTTCCTGGGAAGATCAAAGTCCAGTCAACTTTGAGATTTTGAGACTTGGAGTGAAAACAGCATTTAGGTAACAAAGGTGATAGATATATAGTATGAGGGATTTCAAGTCACACAGTCTGATGTCATAATTCCCTCCCTTGTTTGAACAGACTGGCCCTGAAGATGATTGGAGCATGCCTGCCTCACAGGTTCCTTCCAGGGGGTGGGCCAGGTGTAGGGGTGGAGGGCAGGCCAGTACCCAAGTCATAATGGTCCAGTACATGTGACCCAAGCAACCTGCATCATGCTATCTCAGACAGATGGGTAGTGGATGCACAAGAGACTTTTGCATGTGACAGGGGCATCTAGAGTTGGATGGACAGTGGCAGCATCATCTCTTGGCAGAAGGGAGGAAAGGGCCAGTCACTGAAGTAAGTTCCTATCCCATGCAGAAGAGCTGTTGTTATAAAGGGGAGGAAACACAGAAGACTGAGGTCTGGCAATGTCCTTGCAAGGCCACATGCTGCTGAGCAGAGTGAGGTTTCTGAGCATCTCCACCGGGAACTGAAGGCTTTATACACATAGTATAGTGTGACAAGAGGCTTCCTGAGACCAAGCAGGAGGTCTCAGCATGGTGTCTCTGATTATGAAGATATGAAGTGGATAGCTTCAAACAGGCTATGGCATGAGCATTTACACTATAAGGACTGGCAGACACTGTCAATTAGGGTTTATTTGCCTCAAAATTTCATTGTTAAACATTTACAGTGAATTTGAGGACAGTGATCATGATTGTGCACAGTTGCAATCTCTTATTCACAGGTTCACTATGAGTTGTAATCAACTCAACAGCACCTAATAAATATTTGCCAGCACACTCCTTCCTTCTCTGTAAGATTGTTCTGTGCGTGACAGGTCAATCTAACCCTTTAACAGCCCTTTGACCCATGGCTTGGGTGAATAACTGACGTGCTAGGGGGAAGTGGAAAGGTGGGAAGAAATGGGCTGGAGGATGGGGAGAGCACAGTGTAGGAACAGTGGCAGGACTTACCTTCTTGTCTGTGTCTAGGTCATCTGCCATGGCAGGTGTGGTGTACCCCAGACAGGTGAGTGCTGTAATTTCTGTTCTTTTTACTATCCCATAGTTAACCGAAAAAGTAGCCATGAGGAGGGCAGGCTCCTTGGATCCCTGTGGTCATCTTTAAAGGACTACAGGGCAAGGCTGTTACTTTGAAGATGAAGGTGTGCCTTACGCAGCCCATGGTATTTTCGACTGTTTCATATGCTTGTGAGAGTTAGGCAATGATTAATGCAGACCCAAAAAGAATAAATGCCTTGGAATAAAAAATATCAACCATACTGTAGGTTGCCAAAGAATATAAATTTGTCTTGAAAGAAGTGCAGCCAAAATGGTCCTTAGCAGCAAAGATGATGAGATGTTATCTCACATACTTTTGGCATCTGTTCATGGGGTAGGGTCTGGAGAAAGACTTCATGATTGGGAAAATTGAAAATCTGCCACAAAGAGGGAGATAAAATGAGATGGATAGGTAATTTGACATGGTTATGGTAACAAGGAGCTTTAGCACAGCAGAGACTGTGAGGACAGTCTGGAACTGGGCTGGATTCCATGTGTCTCTAAAATTAGAGCAGAAATGTGGCCCTCACAACAACTCATTATTCTGCAAAGGTCACTTCTACCAACTGCTGCAATCGGAAATCAATCAAACTAGCAACCAAAATACATTAGTAATAATGGGTAACTGGATGCAAAAGTTGGGACCAGGAAGAAGGATCAGTACTCAGGAAATGTGAACTTGGTGACAGAAATGAGAATGGAAATAGAATGATGGAATGATGGAATTCTGTACAATCAATGGTTTATTTGTTGCAAATACCTTTTATAAGAAACACAAACTGACTATACACATGCACCTCACCTGATGGACCACACAGGAATCAGATTGATTGCATCTGTGGGAAAAATCATTAGAGAAGCTCAATATCAGCTGTGAAAACTAGGCTAGGTGTTGATAGTGGATCATATCATCAACCACTTGTATGCAAATTCAAACTGACTGAAGCTAATGAAAATAAAATCAAATCTATAAGAACCAAAGTCTGACCTTGAGTCTATCCCTCCTGGATTTAAAGATTATCTCAAGAACAGTTTTGAGGTCTTGAATACTAATGAGCAAAGACTAGATGAGCTGCAGGAGGGCATCAAGACAATATTATCTATGAAGAATGCTAAGGTCATTACAAAGATGGGTGAAGAAGAAAAGATGAAAATGGATGTCCGAAGAATATTGGATGAGAGTGCTGAAAAGCCAGATCAAACAGAAGAACTCAAGATGTTAAGGAGCTTAACAAAAGATTTCAAAGGGCATCACAGGAAGACAAAGAATTCATGAAATGTGTAAAGAGCTGGAGTTGGAAAATCAAAAGGGACACACTTGCTCAGCATTTCTTTTTTTTTTTTTTTTTTTTTACCCAGCGTCAATCCCCAAGGCGTTTTATTGTGCAAACTGGGATGAGGCAGAGGGGCTGTGCCTAGAAGAAGGTGTTGGGCCGCTTGGTGGTGAACCGTGGCTTGTGCTGGCGACGCAGGACCCGGTGGGGCAGTGGGAACTTGATCTTGGAGTCATGGAACTGCTTGACTGCAGGTCGGCGGCACTTGTTGGCTGCGATCTCCTCCACCTTCATGATCTGGATAGAGTGGGCCCTGGCACGATGCCGAGCGCCCATGTCGCGGTCTGCAGGGAAAGCAAGCACAATCCTCCTACCATATACTGTGCAGTCCCAAGTGACCCCACAAGGTCTAAGCACTGGCCACTAGGAGTGTAGAACTTCCTTATTCACTTCGAGGGGCACAGCACAGCCCCTAAAAGGCGACAAAGTCCACATGCTATATGCACCACCATTTAAACCACTGCTACAACAAACAGTGGCTCTAGGGTTTGGGTGCAAATGCTCAGCATTTCTTAAGTGGAAAGAATGGAAGAACAAATTCAAGCCTCGAGCTGCAATACTTAAGGATGCTTTGGGCAGGATATTGAATGATTCAGGAAGCATCAAAAGGATATGGAAGGAATACACAGAGACACTGCACTCAAACACACAAAAAAATCAGCTGACACAGAAGAATTTCATGAAATAATACATGATCAAGAGCCTGTGAGGATAAAGAAAGAAGTTCAAGCTGCTCTGAAGGAATTGGGGGGGGGGAACCCAAAACAATCAAAAACCACAAACCAAAAAAACCCCAAGGCTTCAGAAATTAATAAAATACCAACTGACATATTTCAACAAACAGATGCTGACTTGGATGTGCTCATCAAGCTGTGCCAAGAAATATGAAGGACAATCACCTGGCCAACTGATTGGAAGAAATCCATATTTGATTCCATTCCAACGATGACCTGACTGAGTGTTGAAAATATAGAACAATATCATTAATATCACATGCAAGCAAGAGTCTGCTTGAAATTATTCAAAAACAACAGGAACAACACATTGACAGTAAACTACCAGATGTGCAGGAGGGACACTATAGCCAATATTAGATGGATCTTAGCTGACAGCAGAGACTACCAGAGGAATGTCTGTCTGTGTTTCATTGACTATGCAAAGGTATTTGACTGTGTGGATCACAACAAACTGTGGCTAACTCTGAGAAGAGTGAGAATCCCAGAGCACTTGATTATGCTTATATGAAACCTATCCTTAGACAGCTGTCAGAACAAAGCAAGGAAACACTGCATGGTTCAAAATCGGGAAGAGTGTATGCCAGGGATGTGTCCTATCCCCACACCTTTTCAATCTATATGCAAAACAAATTATCCAGGAAGCTGGGCTCTATGAGGAGAAATGTGGCACCAGGGTTGGAAGACTCACCAACAGTTTGCATTATGCAGAAGACACAAACCTGCTAGTTGAGACTGAGAAGGACCTAAGGCATTAGTTGCAGAAAGTCAAAGACTGCAGCCTTCAATATGGATTCAAGCTCAACAACAGGAAAACAAAAATTCTCATTACTGTGCTAATGGCATTATCATGATAGACAGTGAAGAGACTGAAATTGCTAACAGTTTCAGCTTCCTTGGCTCCACAATCAGCACACTTGGTACCAGCAACCAGGATATCAAAAGGCAAATTGCATTGGGAAAAATCTGCTGTCAGGGACCTCGCTAGAATACTGAAGAGTAATGATATCAATCTAGAGACTAAAGTGTACCTGATCCAGGCCATGGTCTTCACAATTACTTGCTATGCATCAAAAAGCTGGACAACGACTAGAGATGATAGAAGAATTGATGCCTTTGAGGTGTGGTGCTGGAGAAGAGTATTGAATATGCTATGGACTGCTAGGAGAACAGTTTCATTCTGGAAAGGGTGAAACTAGGCTGCTCCTTGGAAGCAAGGATTTTGAAGCTTTGTCTGATATACTTGGAGCATGTTGCAAGGAGGAATCATATGCTTGGGAGACTGGAGGGCCAGTGCAAGAGAGAAAGACTCTTGATTAGGTGGATTGACTCAGTAACTGTGGTAAGGAGGGGTCGGTGTGGCAGAGACACAGTGAGATTGCCTGAAGATAGAGCAGGGTTCAGATTTGTATACAGAATCACTATGAGTTACAAGTGACTCAATGGCATATAACGAGTATAGACAGTGGAATATTAACAGTTTTCTTTGGATTCATTTATTCCTTATATTTATTATCAAGTCGACTGACTGCAATCAAAAGTCACAGTCATTGTTATGGAGTTGCAAGGGACTAGTGGGTTTTCAGAGACTAAACTGCACAGGAGGAGGTTATCCATCTCCCTCTAGCAGAGTTACTGGCAGATTCCAACCACTTGCCTTTGTGTTAACAGCACAAATCTTTACCTTTACCCATTGTTGTTACAGGGTGCTGTTGAATTGGACACAACTCTTAGCTGACCCTCCAGCAGATTTTTAGAGGCAATAAATTGCATAGGAGGAATTTATCCATCTTTCCTCAGCAGAGCAGCTGGTGGATTCAAACTCTATACCTTTGCATTGGCAGAGCAATTCCTCACCATAAGCCACCAGAACTCCCTTCCTTACCCATTGTTGTTATTGTTATGTGGCACTGAGTTAACTAGGACTCGTAGCAACCCTAGGAACCATGGCTCTGAACCCTGTCCTATCCTGACCCAGCAGTTTTGTCACGGTCACTGTATCAATCCATCTCATCCAGGATCTTCCTGATTCTCTGCCCTTCCAAGCATAATGTCCTTTCCCAAGGACTGATCCCTTCTGGCAATATGCCCAAGAATGTGAGATGGAATTTCAGAATCATTTCCTCCAAGGAGCACCCTGTTTTCACTTTCTCCGGACAGACTTATTTGTTCTCTTGACAGTCCGTGCTATGTTCAATACAACACAACTCAAGGGTATTGATTCTTATGTCATTTGTACTCATTGGCCAGCTCTCAAACGCATAGCAAGTAATTAAGAAGAGCATGGCCTATATCAGGTACACCTTTTCCCTGGACTGACATAGTTGCTTTTTTATGTGACGTCCTTGACAGCAGATTTTCTTAATGTATTTTGTCTTGATTTCCTGACTGACTGACTGCTGGTGCCAAGGAGGATGATTGTGGATATGTTGTTGTTGTTGTTGTTGTTGTTGTTGTTATGTGCTGTCGAGTCATTTGCAACTCATAGCAACCCTATGTACAACATCCCTAAACCCTGCTCTGTCCTGTGCCAATTGCACCATTTCCAACACACCCACCCCAATTACCCCAGTCACTGAATCAATCCGCCTCATAGAGGGTCTTCCCCTCCTGGCTGTCTCTCCACCCTCCCAAGAATGATGTCCCTCTCCAAGGACCTGTCTCTCCTTACAACATGTCCAAAGTATGTCAGAAGAAGCCCCAGAATCCTTGCCTCCAAGGAGTAGCCTGGTTTAACCCTCTCCAGGATGAACCTGTTTGAGCAGTCCATGGTACACTCAATACTCTTCTCCAGCACCACAGCTCAAAGGCATCAATTCTCCTTCTATCCTCCCTAGTCATTGTCCAACTCTCTAACACATAACAAGTGATTGCAAAAACCATGGCCTGTATCAGACACACCTTAGTCTCCAGAGTGACACCATTGCTCTTCAGTACTTTGGAGAGGTCCCTAACAGCAGACTTTCACATGGCAATACATCTTTTAATTTCCTGGCTGCTGGTGCCAAGAGTGTTGACTATGGAGCCAAGAAAGCTATGAACATTCTCAATCTCTTCACCATCCATCCTGATGCTGCCAGTTGGTCCAGTGGTGAGAAACTTTGTCTTCTTGATATTGAGCCTCAATGCATATGAGCAAGATGAAATAGTTAACAACCTCAATCTTTTCTCCATCTATTGTGATACTGTCTACTGGCTCGGTGATAAGAATCTTTGTTTTCTTGATATAGAGATTCAATCCATATTGAAGGCTGCAATCTTTGACCTTCTGCAGCACAATGCTTCAAGTCTTCTTCAGTTTTGGTGAGCAAGGTTGTGTCATTTGCATAATGCAGATTGTTGATGAGTCTGCTTCCAATCCTCATGTCATATTCTCCTCATCAAGTCTAGCCACCTGAATGATCTGTTGAAATACAGATTGAAAAAGTATGGCAAAAGGATACATCCCTGACACACTCTTTGATTTTGAAACATGCAGTGTTCCCTTGTTCTATTCAGCAACAGCTTCTTTGTTTAGATATAGGTTTTGCACAAGCATAATCAAGTGTTCTGGATTCCCATTCTTCTTAATGCTAGCCACAATTTGCTTGATCCACACAGTCAACTGTCTTTGTATAATCAGTAAAGCACAAATAGACATCCTTCTGATACTCTGCTTCCAGCCAATATTCATCTGATATCAATTCCAATATTATCCCTAGTGCCATAGGCAATGATATTGGTAAGTCCCATCCCTCTTCTAAACCTACCTTGTATTTCTGACAGTTCTCTGTTGATGTACTGTCCCAATCATTTTTGGATAATCTTCAGTAAGATTTTGCTTTTCTTTACCCATTAGGTCACCGCAATGCAAGGATCTGATCTAGAAAATACATCAATTACAATATACTACAATGGTACACACAAGGGTGTTAACTGTGCTATAAAACCCCAAGAGAAAAGGGTCATATTCTTGGAAAGTGGAGACTAACAGCATGGTGGGCGTATTCTATGGGAGTGGCATTTCATTGTGGTCTTAGAGTACACACAGGATCTTGCTGGTCAGTGAGGAGCACAGGCAGTATTTCAGGCAGGAGAGATCACATGCCATTTATATTTGGAGGGTAGGAAAGATTGTGGCCCAAGCACAGAGCTTATCAAGCAGGAAACTCTGTGGGGTGAAATGGCAAAGGCAGCTAGAGGCCAGATCGTAAAGGGCCTGGGATACCAGGACCAAATACTGTCCTTTCATGTGGTAATGAGATGCCACAGCATGGCTCTAAGTGAAAACTGACAACATGTGCTTTTTCTCTGCTCTGAGTCCTTCCTTGTCTTTTAGGCTCCTGTGGATTTAGAGATGTACCAAAGTTCTTATATGGTGAACTTCAAGCCCTACGGGGAGCGCAGATACTCCAGCACCGTCCCTCAGGAGGTAGGATGAGTACTCAGTCTGGTCAGCTGCCCCATTCTGCATGGAAATCCAGTGTACTTATTTTTATTGGGAATGCAGGCTTTGGGGACAATTACTTAGAACAACATTCAATGCCAGGGAACATGCTATGGAATTTTTTTTCTCTGTGTGTGCACAGACATGTGTATGTTTTAAAATATAAATCAAATGATGCTGTTGCTATGTATGTGTTGCTGATTTGGAACTGATCCATAGGTGACCCTGCAGATTTTCAGAGGTTGTATAAATCACACAGGAGGAGATTATTCATCTTTCTGGTGGATTCTAACCTCTAGCCATTGGCCTGGCAGCATAACTCCTTAGGCTCTAGAAAAAAATAATAATAATAAAACCCAAACGACTTAATAAAATACGTAATTCTTATAAAATAGCATACATAAATATATTTATGATTTAAATGACATTGATAAAACAAGCACCAATGTATCACACAAACAGCCGTCTGAGTCCCCCTTCCCAATTTAACCCCATCACATTCAGAGGTAGCAATTCTCCTCAGTTTAGAGTTAGCAGTTCCCTTGCTGTTTATTGTCTTACACATTATGTATGCATTTCTTTATTTAATTTTTTTCTCTTATAACACTTTGGGATGCCAGTCTCTGAATCAGATGGCAATGTTCACATGCCCACAAACCATTGCTTGTATGCATCTTTTTAAACAAATAATTTCATTTTACTTCTGTTGAACCTTATTATAAGTGGAGACATACTGTTTATATGCCCCAGTGCCTTTCAGTGTGTTCACTATGGACTCCTCATTCATCTGCTGTGTAGAATGCCATTGCACGGTTATGGTACAGTCCATTTAGGCCCTCTACTGCTAACAGCCACTTGTGCTTTCTGCTTTTCTTCCTTATTACTCTTCTCTAAAGTGCTGTGGTAAGCATGACACACATCCCAATGGGCAAAATTTGTGCATTTCAAGGGTGGAGCGCAGGGCATCTTCTAAAGTGGTTGTACCAGTTTTACATCATCTCCTGCAACAGATGCTCGTCCTTGTCACTGTAATTTTATCATTACTTAGTATTATCAGACTTGTAGATTTTTGTAGATTTGTTATTGTTCTTGTTGTTACTTAAGTTGAAACTGACTCATAGCTGACCTTCCTGTAGGTTTTTAGAGGCTTTAAATCACAAGGAAGGGCGATTGCATAGTAAACTGCATAATAAAAGGTAATTATGTAGCCATTGAGTCAGAACTGACTCAGAGCTGACCCTCCAGTGGGTTTCTGGGAGTATATAAGTCACTTGGGAGGAGATTGTCCTCCTTGCTCGCACAAAGAAGCTGATGTATTCGAACCACCTGTTTTGGGATTGACAGTGCAATTAACCACTAGACCAGCAGAGGTGCATACATAATTAAAATAAATCTTGGCAATTGTGCCATTATTATATGTATAGCCTTCTTATTTTTAATGGGCACACGTCAGAATAGAAAAGGATTTCTTAATCATAACTTAAAATTTTAAAATAAAGGAAAAGGGCAATAAATCTGATTATGTGGAAAGTTAAAATTGCTATTGACTCACCACTGGGCCGATAGGTAGCATCATGAAAAATGGTGAAGAGACTGAGATTGTTAACAGCTTCAGTTTGCTTTGCTCCACAATCAACATTCTTGGTACCAGCAACCAGGAAATCAAGAGACAAATTGCCATGGTCTTATCAATTACTTGCTATGCATCACAGAACTGGACAATGACCAGGAATGATAGGAGAATTGATACCTTTGAGCTGTGATGCTGGAGAAGAGTTTTGAATATAACATGGACTCTAGGAGAATAAACAAGTTCATCCTAGAGAGGGTGAAACCGGGCTGCTCCTTGGAGGCAAGGATTCTGACATACTTTGAGCATGTTACAAAGAGGGACCAGTCCTTGGAGAGTGACTTCATGCTTGGGAGGGTGGAGGGCAGTGCAAGAGAGGAAGACCTTTGATGAGATGGATGGATTAAGTGACTGGAATAATGGAGACAGGTGTGTCAGAGACAATAAGGTTGGCTCAGGATAGAACAGGGTTCAGAGCTGTTGTACACAGGGTCGCTATGAGTCATAAACAACTCGAAAGCAATGAGTCATGAACAACTCGAAAGCACATAACAACACAAACAACAACATTAACTAAAAGAAATGACAATCACAAACTGGACATGAGTTTTGCCCATATGTATTAGTGACTAATGAGAAATGGCCATAATATTTTTAAGAACGTCCTCCAGAAACTAATAGGAAGCCTAGCCCAACATAAGAAAACAAAAATACAAGCAAGAGAATAACAATTCACCAAAACCAAATTAAAATTAGTAAATAATTAGTAATAATTAAATAACTAGCATAATTTTTCATGACTAATTAGTAAAATGAAAATTGTAAGCACAGGAAGATAAAATTTTACACCCACTAAATCTACTAAAGAGAGCTCTGATGGCCTAGTGGATAAGGAATTACAATGCTAACCCAACAGCAGAAAGTTCAAATCTACCTGCTTTGTGGGATAAAGATGGGCAATCTCCTCCAGAGTGATTTACAGCCTCAGAAGTCCACTGGAGAATCAGCTTTCAGTCAGTTCTAATTCAATGGCAAATAACAGCACAACAGCATTTTATTATGCATAGTGTGAAATAAGGCTGTAATTAATGCATCATTTATATGGAAATATAGGTGAGGAGGAACACGTTGACCGCAGTGGGTACCTCTAGAAATGAGAACTGACAGGGGATGGCAAGCAAGGGGTTTGTTTTCACAATAAACATTTTTCAATGCTTTTAAGTACAAAATTCTATATATTACCATTTAAAAATTAATTAACATTTTAATAATTTGAGTGTGCTGTATCTTAGATAATTCCAGGGAAAGTTATACTGTCTCTCTTCTCAGTCAGCCCTCTGCTCATTTCTGATTTGGTTTTACAGCAGTTGACACTCAATGCCCGACTCAGGGCCAAAGAGTTTTACAGGGCCAGCCCCAAGCCCAACCCTAAACTGTCAGATGGATACCCTGCCTTCAGAAGACTCCACATGACAGCCAAAGACCTGGGGCAGCCCGGCTACTTCCCACCACCAGAAGGGACGGCCAAGGTGGAGGACGAAAGAACATTCACCAGAACCTGCCATTGCACGTATCCAGATTCTCCAGCTCTGTACATGGCTCAGGGAGATCCTAACCAGTTTCACCAGAGTTCTGCCTGCTGGAGCCAGAGCACCAACCTGCCGAGGAATTGGGCAAGGGCTTCATGCTCCTGCCTGGCTGCTCCTGTCCTCGCCACCAAATGGAAAAGGCCCCCATCTTGTACCGGTGGGGACCTTGATGCCATTCTACCAGTAGGAGGGGGAGCACACTTCCTAAGGGCTTGTGGGATTCCCATCCTCAAAGCTTGGCCCTTTGAATTCAGAAGGAGCAACTGAAAATAAAATGCTAAGAAGACAATCTAGCATCCTGGACTGTACTTGTCCTACTGTCATTAATGGACACGGTGTTCCCACTTCTGAGAGAGTGAGAGGAGCATAGAAAACCTCCCCCGTGGACAGCTAACCCCTGTGTAATGTTCCCTTATGTGTCGAGTCCTGCTGCTACTCTTGATGGCAGTCTGGTTAGACATTGGGCAGTTAGCTAACCAAAAGTTTGACTAGCTTTCAGGAGAGCCTTGGAAGCCTTGGGGACAGCTGTCCTGAACTGTGGGCAAAACTGTCCTGCAGACTTGCAGTGAGGGGGAATAGACTCAACCTCCAGTACGGTGTGTTTGACATGCTAGGCATTCCGTGATAGAGAGGAATAGTTCTTTTCCCACAGACCTCTAGATAATTGGTGAGATTGTAAAACCTGAAGGACAGTTTAAGAGCTTTTCTCCTTAATGTTCCCACTTTCATTTTCTACCCTACTACTCTTTTCCCTCTTATAGGAAGACTTAAAAGAAAAACCTGCAAATCTACCTGAAAATCTGTCATGAAAAGTTCTCTGGAACACAGTTCTACTCTCATCCACAGAGCCACCATGAGTGGGATTAAATTATGATATATTGGATAAAATTGACAGCAACTGGTTTTAGTGGTAGCTGAGACACATTGGAAAGTTATTTAGTCTAAATAGAGAATATATGATCTATAATAGTTCCTATTTTGTAGGTGAGGGAAGTCTGGTGGCCTATCACTAAGGAGGTACACTAGCAACCCAAAGAAACAAGGTTCAAACCCACCAGCTGCTTTACAGGAGAAGGATGTACAATCTCCCCCATGTGATTTACTCCCTCTGAAACCCACTGGAGAGTCAGTATGGGTCAGCTCCGACTTTCATTGTATGACTACCACAACAACAATCTTAGAGCGAACAAAGTCTATGCAGTACCTCAGTAACAGTACTCACTCAGGCCTTCTTTTTCTGTCATTTACATAATTCATACTGAATATGTGATTTGAAATCCTTCTGGGTTTAGAACAACTATGAGATATCATCTCACCCCAGTAAGAATAGCGAAATTTAACAGAACAGCAAGCAACAAATGCTGGTGAGATTGTGGAGAAACTGGAACCCTTATTCACTGTTAGTGGGAGTGTAAAATGGTGCAACCGCTGTGGAAGGTGGTATGGCGCTTCCTCAAAAAGTTGCAAATAGAGATACCATTTGACCCAGAAATTCCACTACTAGGAATATACCCCAAAGGGACCATAACTGACATCCAAGCAGATATATGCACACCCATGTTTATTGAGGCTTTGTTCACAATAGCAAGGAGTTGGAAACAACCCAAGAGCCCATCAGCAAATGAATGGATAGAGAAGCTGTGGTATATTCACACAATGCAATACTATGCTGCATTGAAAAGGAACTCATGCAATATTATTCAAAATGCGTGAGCCTGGAGGACATTATGTTGAGTGAATATCTCAGTCACAAAAGGACAAATACTGCATGGTGCCACTGTTGTAAAACAAGACTGTCCTCGGGATTGGGGGGAGACTGAGAAAGATGGGTTCAAGAATGTATACTGCATTGAAACAGATGAGGGAGAAAACTGTTTAAAAGGGACATGTGATTAGGTATTTTTGTCATGACAGGAGTCCAGAGGGAAGGAGTGAAGTGGACCTGGGGAAGGGTTTGTAAAACTTTTCAAAGAGTGTAGTGTACTAGGGGGGAGGGTTGGGAAGGGAGAAAAGTGCAACAATGAATGAATGAATGGAAACCCAAAGTCTCTGTAAATTTTCATTGAAATTAATAATAATTTTTTTAAAAATCCTTTTGCGTTTTAGTTGCACTGATTGTAACCATTGTTACTTACTTTTAAACTCTCTAAATGCCAAAACAACTATGAGCTATCATCTCACCCCAGTAAGAATAGCAAAATTTAGCCGAACAGCAAACATCAAATGCTGGCGAGGTTTTGGAGAAACTGGAACTCTTATTCACTGTTGGAAGTGTAAAATGGTGCAACCACTATGGACTGCTATATGGCGCTTTCTCAAAAAGTTGCAAGTAAAATACCATTTGACCCAGCAATTTCACTACTGGGAATTAACCCTAAAGAAACTATAACTGCCACCCAAGAAGATATATGCACACCCATGTTTTTTGTGGTTTTTTTTCATAATAGCAAAGAGCTGGAAACAACCCAAGTGCCCATCAACAAATGAATGGATAGAGAAGCTGTGGTATATTCACACAATGGAATACTATGCAGCACTGAAAAGCAAGGAACTCGGCGAGCTCTGGTGGCCTAGTGGCAGGAAACTGCACTGCAATCCCAGAGGTGCGCAGTCAAATCCACCAGATGCTCTGCTGGAGAAGGAGGAACAATCGCCTCCTGTACCAGTCAGATCTGATTTGACGGTATACACATACATACATACATACATACATACACAAACAAACAAACAGTTATTTGGGATAAAAATTAACCAGATTATAAAAAAAAAAGAAAAACAAGGAACTCATGAAATATTATGCAAAATGGATGACCCTGAAGGACATTATGCTGAGTGAAATATCTCGGTCACAAAAGGACAAAAATCCATAGGACTGACCTCAGAGTTGAGGGAAGACATAAAAGGAGAAGAATTATGTATATTGTATTGAAACAGATGAGAGAGAGAACTGTTTAAAAGGGATATATGAATGGGTATTCTTGTCATTACAGAAGTCCAGAGTGAAGGCTACATAGTGGAGTGGACTTGGGGGAAGGGATTGCATAACAATAAAAGAGTTTTTCTTTCTTTTCAAGGAGAAGAGTGAATTTGGGGGAGAGGGTGGGCAGGGAGAAAAGTGCAACAATGAATGATTGGAAACCCTAAGTCTCTGTAAACTTTCATTAAAATTAATTTTTTAAAAAATATTTTTAAAAACCCTCTCTACATGCCATTATATGAGCATACCATAATTTACTACTACTAGATATTCAGGTTGTTTCCACTTAGGTAGTTCTCTTGTTTGTATAAAGCTATATGTTCTGCAATATGTAAGGAATTGGAAGTTATTTCCTGGTCAAAGTATATGACCAGTCCTTGGTGCATATTACCAAACCACTCTATAAAATAGATATATTTGTAATATTAAGGGATTATTACAGAATTTGCGAGGTGTAAAAATGGCATTGCAATTCTGTTTGGGCTTTATTACTTTTTGGGAACTACTGTAATGTACTTAAAAATTTTCTAGAAAAAGGCAGTATTGGTGGGGTTGGGATGAGGCTGGATGAAACTGTTTCAGTGACCCAGTGAAAGTTGCAGTTGAATCTTGATATCTGGAAATTCATTATCGGCTTAACTCACCTTTTGTGTGTGTTTCTTACTTTCCCTACTATCCTGTGATGTGCAGAGGGCACAGCCTTGCTTGCAAAGCATGAAGATAACTTAGAAACACTTACTGATGTAACTCAAAGACTTTGGTAGCTTTCATTGTGGATTATACTTCAATATAAAGAAAACAAAAAGTCTCACAACTGGATCAACAAACAACATAAAGAGAGAAAAGACTGAAGTCTTGGGTTTCATTTCACTCAGATTAATAATCAACACCCATGGAAGCAGCAGTCAAGAAACCAAACAGTTACTAAGTGCTACATAGTATTCCATCGTGTTAATGTATCATAACTTCTGAATCTATTTTGTTCTTGGAGATTTGGGCTGTTTTTATGTTCTTGAGATGGTGTATAATACTGGTATTATTGGTGTATGAGACTGGAGAGAATTCTGCTGAGTGAACTAACTCTATCTCATAAGGACAAACACTGTGTAAGACCATTATTGTAAAAACAGAAGGATAACTAATAAAATGTATCTGGAGATCCAAGGGGGATAAGGGTGGGAATAGAGGCCTGAGAGTGAGCAGGGGTGAAATCATAGAATTGCACAATTTGGTGGATGGAAGGAGGAGGTAAAGGAAATGGAAAATGTCTGGCAGGGACCTGAAAAGGTAGTGATGGGCATAGTCTAATGGTGATTAGTTTTATAAAACATAATGAATGAGAATGATTGCATGAAACAATTTGAATGAAGAATAGTGTGAAAAACAGTGTATATGAACTTTGCAGGCAAACCAATATAAAATAATTTTCAAAAAAAACCCCAAAACTAATCAAACAGTACATTTCATTGGGCAAATCTGCTGCAAAAGACCTCTATCTAAGAGCAAAGATGCTTTTATTTAAAGACTAGGATGTACCTGACCCACACCATGGTATTTTGAACTGCTTCATATTCATGTGAAATATGGGCAATGAATAAAAAAATGATAGGAGAATTGATACCCTTGAATTGAGGACTATTGAATGCACCATGGACTGCCAAAAGAAACAATTCTGTCTCAGAAAAGTGTAGCCAGAATGGTCCTTAAAAGTTGAGTTTGAGACTTTGTCTCACATAATTTGAGCATGTCATCAGGTAAGACTAGTCTCTGAAAAAGTTTGAAAAAGTAGGGGTCAGTGAGAAAGAGGATGATCCTCAATGAGGTGGACAAGGGCAGTGGCTGCAACAGTGGTTTTGAGCACTGCAGAGATGGGAGGACTGCGCAGGACTGGGCAGGCTTAATTCTGTTTGTTGCATGAACGGTCTGCATAAGTTGGTACAGATTCAATGACACCTGACAACATTATAAAACCTTAAAAGTATGAAGGCAGAAAGAAAAGGAGGAAGGGAGAGAGAAAGCCAAAAAGGAAGGAGAGGAAGGAAATAAGGAGTATTGTTTTGGACCATCGCCAGCCACTTACAACCAAAACCCAAACAAAACCCACTACTGTGGAGTTGATCCTAACTTCTAACAACCTTTTAGAACAGAGTGGAAATGGACTGGTTTTCAAAGTCTTTAAATCTTTGTGGAAGCAGATGCCACATCTTCCT